ATCGTTATTATAATATTTGTATAATAGTAGCGCCCTTCAAATGAATTCTACGAGACATTTTAAACAAATCTATCGCTTAAGATATTTAGCAAAGGTTACAGAGAAATATTAATAATTAAATATTGATAACAGATAATTCTGTGCTAGGGAAGAGGGTGGAGGGCATTCATTCGTTAAGATCTTCAACAACTATTTTAAATATCTTCAAATGACATCTACGAGACATTTTAAACAAATCTATCGCTGGAGATATTTAGCAAAGATTACAAAGAAATATTGAAAAAATTATTCTGCGCACTAGGGGAGAGGGTGAAGAGGATTCGTTTCTTGCCCTTCGGTCTTCTCCCTGGTTCCCTCCTTTTCTGTCTATGTCGAGCGAGCTGGTTTCCTTCGTCTGGGAGGAGTCGAGGGATGAAACCCTTGAGCTTCCTCGAGGAACCCTTCTCGCTTCGCGAGGGTTGTCTCGCGGGGTCTTAGGAGTGTTACCCGAGGAAAGAATAAACCGGAAGAACGGGTGTCAACGCGGAAGCGGGTCCCACGTGTCGGTTGTGTCTACAATGCTCGAAAGGTTACTCTTACCTACACCAGGCCGAGGGGCGAGCCTTAGAGGTGGAGTTTCTCGTCTGCTCTTGAATAACTTCTTTCTACCCGGAAGCCTAGTAATCGAATTTGCATTGCGAATTTTTACGCTGCTTTTGTGCCCATGCTATTTCCTCCCGAAATGTTCTATACAATGGGCAAGTAACGTGGAATTTAATATCTTGAGATAATGATAATATTTCTATAATTTCAATTCGTTGTCTAAAACGAATTTAATTAAATTAAAGGGAATTTTTACGCTGCTTTTGTGCCCATGCTATTTTCTCTCGAAATGTCTTATACAATGGGCAAGTACCGGGGAATTTAATATCTTGATATAATGATAATATTTCTATAATTTCAATTCGTTGTCTAAAACAAATTTAATTAAATTAAAGCGAATTTTTACGCTGCTTTTGTGGCCATATTATTTCCTCCCGAAATGTCTCATACAATGGGCAAGTAACGAGGAATTTAATATCTTTAGATAATGACAATATCTCTATAATTTCAATTCGTTGTCTAAAACGTCAATCAGCGGCTAACTCGGTATTAAAATTGTCGCTCGTCATTGGTATCTCGTTCCAATTCTTTTATAATTAATTACTATTTATATTCATCCTCGCACGTAATTATTGTTCTGCCCAAAACACTCGGTACTCAACGCGTAATGTCATTTCGGGATACAAATACGAATTTATTTAGACATCTATTATAAATGCATACGAAATTCCTTTTTAGATATTAAATTTACAATTTCACTATAATTTGACGTGACTGAATTTTATGAATATTTTTAACAGTCTATGATATCTCTATGAATGGACTTGTATTTAAGTCCATTCTGGACCTTTCACAAGACTGACTTTGTATTAAAAAAATACAAACCACACGACACATGAATGCAGATTATTTTCGGCAATGAAGGATCATCTGCCTCGGGAGAAAAAGTGAAGTCGGCATGTTCTCCTTGCAGGCCTTGCATATGCGATCCGCGTGACATTTTTATTTTCAAAGATTTAGAACGAGTGCTGCCTTTCTGGGCTTAAAGCTTACCGGATCCAGTCCAGAACATCCAGCAGGACATATTTCGTACGCACTCGTGCGTAAATCAGTCCGTAAAACGGATGCGAGCAGGGAATCCAACATAAATTCAGCCGAGCACATGTCCCGGATGAAGAGAGGCAGCACCTAGAAAAACAGAAATGGTTCAGCCTGAAATTTCACCGGGTTAGAAAAAATCGTAAAGTGACTCCTCTACAATGTACCCACTGTTTAAGGTGAAGTAAACCCCCTAAAATCAGTCGATTCGAGTAAGATACTTTCCTTTAACCCATTTGCATCATAAGGAAGTATGAAAAAGAGGGTCCTTATCCTCATTTTTTTTTTATTTCTGGAGTTTTACTTGGATTTCTTTATAATTATTGTACGAAAACGACAGGTGGAGTATGCCATTTGGTACAAAAAATGCCCAATATAATTCGACACATCTGTGAATATAAACACCACCGTCGTTGACGTAGGTATTTAGGAAAATCTTTTTTACCGACGTCGATCAAGTTCTTCGGCGTGTTTCACTTCACCTTAATAAACCATGCGTTGAGTAAAATGTCTGTAGTTTAATGAAGCGTTCAATAGGTGCTTTTCAAAATGTCCGCCTCGAGTAAATTTCGAACCATTTATGAATTTAACGACTTGTCCGCCATGTTTCACCCGGGGTTGATGTTGAATTATGCGAATTGCCAGGGTGTATATCAACGTGGACAATGGCTTGAATTACCTCCTCTCGTACCTCTTCCTTTCAGTCTATTTCGTTGCGTAATTAAAGAACTCACTACCACGGATATGCAACGGCGTCTTAAATCTGCTCTGCAGTAAAGTGTCATATCTGCATGAACAGTTGCGGGGAACGCAATCCTTATCGCAAGACAGATTTACGACGTTTTGTAAATAAACTTTTCCGCTCTTAGCTCTCCGAGTCGCCTCTGGACCGTTTTACAACTTCCCGATGTTTTTACTCGACAGTATTCGCATAATTCACATTATTTCCTACATATGACAATGCATTACACGATATACTCTTGCGCTTTATTTTTTATATATAACTTTAATCCCCTAGAAATCATTATCATTTTCATTATCATTCTCATAATTGACATTATTTCCCGTACAAGACAGTGCATTACACGATATATTCTTCCGCTTTATTTTCTATGTATAACTTTTATCCTCTAGAAATCATTATCATTTTCATAATCATTCGCATAATTGACATTATTTCCCATACTAGACAGTGCATTACGCGATATATCCTTGTGCTTTATTTTTTACGTATAACTTTTAATCTCTAGAAATTATTTTCACTTTGTATTACATGAATATTTCAGATTATTCATTTGAAATAAAATTACTTTAACTCTTTGAGCGCTGTGCACCCACAAGTGTGTTTGACGTTTGGTCCAGTATTGCTTACACGTCGCGATGAAATTCGCCCATACGTCAAAAGGGCCTAGCGCTCAAAAGGTTAAATTAAAATTACATTATTTCCCATTCAAGACGATGCATTACACGATAGATCCTTACACTTTATTCTTTACATATAACTGTTAATCTCCAGAAATGATTATCACTTTGAATTATTTACGTGTATATTTTACTCCTGAATATTAATCAGAGGAGGGATGTTTTCGAATAGAATTCAAGCATTATTCTGAAAGTGTGCCAGCAATTTTTATTTCCTTTCAGAGGGTTACGTAATAAGGTGGAAGACAAGCATGACGACTCTTCTCCATTCTTCTCCCATGCCGGAGACGTTAAATTGCGGGAATTCCTAGCGCAACGGAACGGGAGCCAAGAAACGTGCTCTCCTTTGTGCACCTAAAGGCTATCCGCCTCCTTTGACCTGGAATCCCGAATACTCCGCGTTCCTTGAAACCACCCCTGCACAAAATCTCTACAGTTGAGAAAACACGACCCTCCCCTAAATCTGTAACGACGTCTGAGCGCCCCTTCGCGGACGTGAACGGAACTAACGATCCGACACGTGCACTTCAACGACCTGCAAACATGTCCTCAGCAAACCGAACATTTCCATAATGGGCTAACTGAATACTCTTTGCCAAAAATATATTTCCTTTCCTGAGGTTTCGTTGTCAAAGACGATATATCGTTCACTCGGCACCACCACCGATTTTTTTGGATATGGGATGGAGCACTAAATTTGGGGTTGCAGTACTAAAATAGCACCTAATAAGCACCTAATTTTCCAATGGGATTCGTATCATTTTTCTAAATATTTCCTTTCCTGAGGTTTTGTTGCTAGAGACGATATAGAGACGATATAGAGACGATAACGTTCACTCAGCACCACCAACGATTTTTTAGGATATGGGGTGGGGCACTAAATTTGGGGTTGTAGTACTAAAATAGCACCTAATAAGCACCTAATTTTCTAATAGGATTTATATCATTTTTTTAAATACTTCCTTTCCTGACGTTTTGTTGCTAGAGACGATATAGAGACGATAACGTTCACTCAACACCACCACCGATTTTTTAGGATATGGGGTGGGGCACTAAATTTGGGGTTGTACTAAAATAGCACCTAATAAGCACCTAATTTACCAATAGGATTCATATCATTTTTTTAAATACTTCTTTTTCTGACGTTTTGTTGCTAGAGACGATATAACGTTCATTCAGCACCACCACCGATTTTTTAGGATAAGGGGTGGAGCACTAAATTTGGGGTTGTAGTACTAAAATAGCACCTAATAAGCACCTAATTTTCCAATAGGATTCACATCATTTTTCTAAATATTTTTCAAGATTTTTTTGTAATGAAAATTCCTTTCACGAATTTAAGGTATTGAGGCTCAATAAGGGTCAGAATATTATTGCAGTAGAATGAAAAACAATTTAACTACAACAGTGCAAAAATATAGTTTAGTTAATTCCAACCGTGGTTAGGTAGTAATACATAATTCTTGTAAATTGTTTCAAACATTACGTACAAAACTAAAACGCTAAATCGTTCTATACATGAAGAAGATGCATTAACAATGACTTCTGTTTATATTACGTTGAGATGTTAGCATTAATTTTGTATTTTCCTGTTTGTTGGTCTTTTCAATTTTGAAATTTGCCGCCAAATTCGCGGGCTACCCTTCTTGCCCTCGCTCGGGATCGAGGGTAGAAAGTGTAGAGAAAGTGTAGAAAGTGTAGGCAAAACGAACAAACCTATTTTATTCTACAAATCGTCGAGGCTCGAGGGCCGCATATGAAGTTTTACTTGAAAGATGAAAGTAAACCTTTTTCACTTTTGGCAAGCGATAATTTGCAAAATTCTTTATCATACCTAGCGGCCGTTTAAATGCCTGGTTATTGCCCGAGGTATTTATCGTAATTTCTTTTGGTTGCAGATATCGCAATGGACTGGTCGGACCATGCTTTATGGTGGCCTGCCAGAAATTATTGGCTTGTTCGGACGAGGAGCACTCTTGACCAATATGGCGTCGCTGCAGATGCATTGTTGCACTTCACACCGATGCACAAAACCCTCAGGGTTCAACTCCCGGACATGCGGTGTCTCGACTGCAGAGTGGACTTTTCCGTAAAAACCTTCAACGCTGTTATTAACCTTTGCAAAGAATTGGGTAAGCCATACTCCATTACACTTACTTACTACCATTAGGTTACTTGAACTTCCGAGTTTCTCAAGGAAATATTACGGGGCCTTGGGAGATGAAGGATAAATATTTATAGAAAATAAAAAAAGCAACTGTTATTTTCATAGACGTTCTGCAACATTTTGTAAATTGCATGTCTTCATAACCAGATATATAGGACTGTCAAAAGAACGTTCCATTGTTGCATGGAGCGTAATGGATGTAGTGGGATATACAAACATGGCGTGATTATTTTTTTAAGTACATGACATTTTTAGAATTTTTCTTCCTTATTACGTTTAAGTCGTAAATCTTTCGAGGTGTGAATGGATAGAAAAGTGTTGCGTGAGTGTGAAAAATCTGCAAAAAATTGCACCGAGGTGCAAGCTTTTGCGTGACGATAATCGTAATTGTACAATTGAACAGACGTTTCATTTTCATTTCGTCACGCGAAGGTTAAGCGGGTCGTAAAGCTCGAAGTTTATCGTCAGTCGGGACTTTTAATCACGTAAAAGTAGGTTAGGATGCTAATTAGTATGGGTGGAAAGCTGATAATCGGCGATGTTGATGCTCGAAAGTCTAGAGATGAATCAGTGATTATGGATAAAGTGCCGGACAATTCATCATACACGGTACATGACGAGCATAACTTTGTTGCATTATGAAAGTAAATGCCATTAATATTGTTAATGCGTCCTTTTTATGAAGTTTAGAAATTTCAGTTTTGTGCTAATAATTCTGGAGAGATGCTGACAAATTTATTTCCTGTGGTTTGACATTAAACTAGAGCGAAGAATTTACTTTCTAGAGATTAATCTGACTTATTTTGTTAAAATACCAGCCAGTAAAGATCTATTCGACATAATTTTCGTATAAAAAAGAAATGGATGCAGTCATTCTATTCATATACTTTTTATCCATAATTTCTTCCCATTCGCCGATAAGTAAACGATGTCGCGAAATTAGCCGCTCAATAAAAAACACATTCGACATATGAATTTCTGTATAAAAAAGAAATGGCTGCAGACATTCTATTCATATGCTTTTTATCCATAATTTCTTCCCATTCGTCGATAAGTAAACGATATCGCAAAATTAGCTCATCAATAAAAAACACATTCGACATATGAATTTCTGTATAAAAAAGAAATGGCTGCAGACATTCTATTCATATGCTTTTTATCCATAATTTCTTCCCATTCGTCGATAAGTAAACGATATCGCGAAATTAGCTGATCAACAAAAAAAAAAAAATTGGACATATGAATTTTTGTATAAAGTAGAAATGGATGCAGACATTCTATACATATACTTTTCATCCATAATTTCTTCCCATTCGCCGATAAGTAAACGATGTCGCGAAATTAGCCGATCAATAAAAAGCACTTCTTGACCTTTTACCCGAGGTACTAATTTCGAGCGTAATTCTCATGCTCATAAAAGATAACCTCTCCGGATAGCCCCGGTGTGGAGTCCGTAAAGGAGAGGAACCATGTTTATGCAACATGCATATCGGCCTCAGTAAAATAAAAAGCACAATATTATCTACTAACGTAACCCTTCCATGTTTTAGGTATCAGACATCCAGAGGAACTGTCCTTCTGCAAGCCCCCCGAGCCGAACCATTTGAAGCACAACTTAAAGGACATACTAGAGAAGAAGAAAATCGAAAATCAGAAGAATGGTCCCTGGCACGTCCCAGCTGATACGAATACCTTCATCCCGGTTAGTCAGAGTCCCAGGGGATCAACTGGGAGTCTGGACCAGAGCAGTCCCTTCATGTGCGCTCCCGTGACGACCAACAACAGAAATCACAGTACACCGATCAGTTCACCAGTTTCAGTGCGTACAGTTAACCTTTTCGAATTTTATTTCTTTCCTTCCATAGAGCCTACATAAATCAAGGAGACAATATAAATGAGGAAACGATCAGAGGAATCTTTTGTATCTAAATTTCTCCCTGTGCAAGTACCCAGATAAAAATTCATGATCATCGTATGTCGCGGAAAATCGATTTACAGACAATATGCAGATTATTAGCTGCATGAAATCTCTGCAATGTTACACAATAAATTTGAAGAAACATTTGCGGCACGTTTAATAAATCATTATATATCCCTGGGTACAACAAATTCGGTTCTATGTTGAGGATGCATTGATGCTTCCTTTTTTCTCGATGCAAGTATTAAGTAAAAATGTCGACAATTCTGTAGTATCGGTTCATCCCTAATTATACACTGAGAAAAAAATGTCATCGAACCTAGGAAATATTTTGTTAGTTCAAAAAATAATTATTTAATTCGAGTTAATTAGATGCAATCGAATTGTTCTTTAACTTAACGAAATACTTCATTGGTACTATTCAATAAAACATTTCCTTGGTTCGTTTAAATTCATTTTAATAATTATTCATCGAATTAACGAAATATTTCTTTGGTGCAATTCAATTAACCCTTTGGCTACTAAGAGCGCCTAAAGGCGCCCGACGTTTGGTCCAAAATTGCCTGCACGGTCAGACGAATTTCGCCCAAACGTCGAAAAGGCTCTGTGTTCAAAAGACTAAATATTTCCTTGGTTCTCTGAAATTCTTTTTAATAATTATTCTTCGAATTAACGAAATATTTCGTTGGCGCTATTCAATTAACCCTTTCGTTACTACGAGCGCCTAAAGGCGCCCGACGTTTGGTCCAATATTGCCTGCACGGTCAGACGAATTTCGCCCAAACGTCGAAAAGGCTCCGTGCTCAAAGTGCCAAATATTTCCATGGTTCATTGAAATTCTGTTTCTCCCACTGTAACAATGTCTTCTCCATTTTTATAAGCTTTCATCCTTTCAAATCATCATTCGGAGTGTCAAGAAATGCCATCGAACCTTGACATAAGTACAGTGATTGTATTTTTATAAGCTTTCATCCTTTCAAATCATCATTCGGAGTGTTAAGAAATGCCATCGAACCTTGACATAAGTACAGTGATTGTATGAATGACTCCTCTTCTTGCAGCAAACCGGAACGTGGAAAAGGAACAACAACTCTTCCGGGTTCGGGAGCACGGGTTCGTTCAACGCGAATAACAGTACGATGAGCCTGGAAGCTTTAAACGGTGGATTGTCGGAATCTCTGGCACAAAGTCCTTCCTCGATCTCGCAGGAAGTTCGCTCGAAGCTTGTGAGGCCTAAAAGTCTGGTGGAACGCGCCAGGATGAACGTTGCTTGGCTGGACTCTTCGCTCTCCATAATGGAGCAAGGAATCCGGGAGTTCGACACCCTCCGACTGAAGTTCAAGTTCTACTCGTTCTACGACCTTAACCCGAAAACAGATGCGGTTCGAATCAACATGATTTACGAGCAAGCCAAATGGCAACTTCTGGCAGAAGAAATTGACTGTACGGAAGAGGAGATGCTGATGTTCGCCGCTCTTCAGGTACACGTGCTGATAGGAACTAGCATTAAGGTGAAGTGAAACACGTCGAGGAACTTGATCGACGTCGATAAAGAAGATTTTTCTAAAAGCCTACGTTGTCGACGTTGGTTTTTATATCGACAGCTGGGTCGAATTATATTGGGTATCGTACCAAATGGCATACTCCACCTGTCGTTTTCATAAAATAATTATAAACAAATCCATGTAAAACTCCAGAAATCCTCTGGATTCATGGTTTCTGAGGCCCTAATTGACTGCAGAGACCCCCTGCGCCATCTGTGATTTCCAGGTCAATTAAATTTTCACTCCGAGACCTCGTATTATCATCGTTTTGACATAGAAGCGCATACGACACTTTTTTTGCCTTTATCCCGTTCAAATGCGACTTTATCGATTACCAGAGTGCTCTAAATTCTCGTACAATTGTCCTGACACTTTCGTTCTAATGTAGATCCTTCAATAATTGCATATCGATCGAAATATGAGAGCTCGACGTCGTTTTACTTCTGGTCTGGGCTGAGTTAAAAAGTTGGTTTCACAAATCTACATTTTGAGAATGTTAAGATTATTCCTAGGTGCTCACGAGTCATGCGTCAAAATTTCGGACGGTTCGATCCAATACCCTTAACCCATTTGCATAATTACCGTATATATACGCTCAGATTTCCTGGTGACTATCATTCATATAAAATTTTATCTATACATTAAACATTATTCATATAGAATTTAATTCTATTTTTAATTACAGAATGCTGAAGTATGAAGTTCATCTACTTGTTGTATCTTTTATACTTAACCCTCTATGGGCCGAATTTGTCTTTTAAATAAAAAAAAATTGGGGGAACGAAAAATCAGCAATTAGGAACCTATATATGCAAATGAAAAAAATTTTTCATTTAAAATGTTACCTGAAAGTTACACGGGCCCATAGAGGGTTAAATATAATAAAAAAAAATTGAGGACAAGGACCCTCTTTCATACTTTCTCATGATGCAATTGGGTTAAAGGAAGGTGTCTTATTCGAATCGACTGATTTGAAGGGGGTTTCACTTCACCTTAAGGCCGTGTCAGTGAGTCTTGCAAGTCTTCTCTGGGAAAGCGAGCACGATCGGCCGGCGCCTCATTATCGGTGGATCTTTAACGATCGAATCGCTTTCCTTTGCATCCTCGCATCCGGGTTGCATGCATCTCGGTGCAGTAGGTTGCATGCATCTCGGTGCAGTAGGTTGCATGCATCTCGGTGCAGTAGGTTGCAGTAAGTTACAGAGTGCAGCATCCCTCGAGTTGGCCCGAAGGCAAACGGCCGCGAAGAAGTGTGATTTCGCGGCCGGCCATGTCGATTACGGAGTCGATCATAGATGGAATATGCCTTAGTGCGATTTTCCTTAATCGACTCCGTGTCGGAGAGAGCCTGCCACGTAGGTAATTTGTATTCGTGTGCCTGTTTCACCAGTCTTCGTCCTACGCCTTGTTTTCGCCTTCGTAGACGCCCACCTAAGTCGAGGCTTCATCGATAAAAGGAGCGTGTGGTCCTCGACTTGACGAAACGGGTACGGTACAGGAAAGAGCCTAAAAGTGTCCTTATTTAGGCACTTGTACCACTGATTTGCGGTGAAATGAAACCCGCCTCAAATCAGGCGATTTTAATAAGACACTTTCTTTAAGGTGATATGAAAGGGTCATTATATATATATATATGTGTACACACGGAAGCGGAGATATAGACGGGCACACGGACTCGCCACGATGGATATACACGCGGACGTATATATATATATATATATGTGCACACACGGAAGCGGAGATATAGACGGGCACACGGACTCGCCACGATGGATATACACGCGGACGCGGGTATGTCTATATTTCCCTCCGTCCGTCCGACGGTCGTTTCGGAATAGATATGCCCCGGATGTCGGGGCCAGGGAGCCATTTTCCAATTCAATCTGTTAAAAGCACACGTCAAAAAGTCATACGATATTTCATCGCGTCGCGGCGCCGCCAAGCCGGCTTCGCTACGCCAGCACCCGAGTCGCTCACCCCTTTGCTCGAAGATCGAGGAATTGGCTTTGGATCCCGCCTCGGGCCCATTTTACTCCCTATCACATTTTACATACCGGCAAACCTTTCCTCTACCTTTGTGCCACGTAATTGACTATCTACCGTGCCGCCAGTGAGCCCTGATAACTATTTCCCGACACCGATTCGACCCGACTTCTCGAGTCTTCGCTTTGTGTCGTTTTTGCGCTCGCGTTGCGGTTTTATTTCCTTTCCCGGACTTTTATCCCGGGAGAGACGGAATTCCTTGCTCGCGGAGGTCCTGCGAGATCTAGTTAAGGTGTTTTTTAAGCAGTGTGCTCGGGGGGAGTCTAAGAAACATGGGAATCGAGATGCGAGAGGCGGTATCCGGACGGAACCCTTGGGGCGATTTTATTCCAGGTCTTTCCTCGTTTTGTCGTCCTTTTGTCCGGAGATAATTATATCGCTGTACGAGATGTACCGTTCCAAGGTTCATTCGATGGACCGTTGTCTACGGTTCGAGGATAGGGTTTGGAAAAAGGGGTATGGGGAACTGAGAACCATGGGAAGGTCGGGGATCCTTCGTGAGGACCTGGCGACGCTTTTCGATCCTCTGGTTATTTTTATTTCCGGGCGTTTGAGTAGTATCGATTTTTAATTTAATCCGCAACGGTTGCACGGTCCGTTCCACGCGAGATGCGATTTTACTAAACGAGGGATTCACGTGGGAATTACTCGGTATGGATTTTTATATCAATCCGTATAATTTATATGATTAATTCCTGTTTGCATTCGCAGCCGGAAGGGAAATTTCTCCCTCTGTGAAATCGACGCAAGTGGCGGCAGAATCCAAAGATCTTGATCAAGGATCGAGCAAGTGCCCCCTCGAGTGCGCAGGTTGTCGATCTCTGTCGGCAAGGATCGAGAGATCGATCTCGAAGACGGTTTACTCGGGTTCCCGACCACCTATACATCTTGGGTCCACCTCCTCCGATTTGAAGTAGATCACCCCGAGGGTAGATTTCAGATTAGGTGAGGTATACCCCGATTGTTACAATTCCGCACCCACGATCGGTCCTCCCCTCTCTCCGGTCTCCTCTTTCTCTCCCTGTTCATTGTTCGACCCCGACAAGTTGGTACTTCGGCTCGACTTATCCGATCCGATCTAATCTACCGCCACAATGTTGGCTGATCTCTTCGCCGGTGTTGGCAAACATCGTAATTCGACATCGCCTCGATCTCGATTCCCGAATTCGAGGGCTTACGTGGATATTCGACCGTGTTTTTAAGAGTAACACTACCTACCGGAAATCGAGTCCTTGAACCTGTCGCGACCGTGGGAGCATTTTAAGCCTAGACGAAATTTGAAAGCATCCTTTTATTTATTTTTTTATTTCCTCGAGATAAGCACCGGTTATCGCGTTGCAAATCCACTCGATCGGGATTTCCCCGCGAGCGCCCGATTTCCAAACGCAGAAGGTTAAAAATTGCAAAATATTGTGAAATCCTCAGTTTTTGTTTATTTTCCAGATTTTTCAAATTTTTCCTCACTTCTGAACTTGGACTTTAACGAATTCTCTCGATTTTTCAGACGTCCCAGCGTGTGCAAGTTAACGTCATTTCCCATACTCCCCAACAATGGCGTCTCCGGAAAAGACGCCGACCCTTGTCCAAGGTTCCCCAGGAATAGAAGAAAGCAGTCGAGTAATCAAAAAGTATACCCCGAGCGATTACTTCCGTCACTTCCGGCAAGACCTCCGAATCGTAGAAAAGGACCCAGGAATGAGAAAGGAGAAGCCGATCGATTGCTTCCGTTACTTCGTTGAAAACCCCATTATACTTGGCGGTCCACCTCCTCGATCACAGGACCAGTTAGTCAGGCCTACATCCCATTCTGGACTAGGTAACTACGTTATCCGGGGTGGAAACCATAAAACCATACAAAGCCATAATACGAGGGGCTCATTGCGGGGCAAATAACATCTGTACATTAGATCACTATAAAATGGTTCGCCATTACGAGCTTACAATGGAGGTCCATTGAGGGAGGCGATTGAAAGAAGGTGAGCGCCGATCGGAGGGGCCGTGTAAAAAAAAAAAAAAGAAACGGAGACACGGATATATTCAGGAGGGAGGCCGGCTCGGAAAGCGGCAGAAAGAAGGGCCGAAAGCCCTGGCGGTTTTAAAACAGTTGGCCGAAACAAAAGCCGGCGGGCGCGACGTCTGAGCATCGGGAGCATTGTTGGCTAGCGTTTCGAAACGAGCTTTCCGGGAATAAAAGGGTAACGCGCGGTGGTCGGCAGCCTCCGTCACGGTATATGCGTCGTATACATTGCGTACATAGTAGGTACAGAGTAAATACCGAGTATATACTCTGTGCATCCGTATACATGGTATGCGCGAAGGACCGCGTCGGTGCGCTCGGGTCCGCCAGAGGAGGAGGGACCTCGACTCCGCCGCGCCTCGCTCCGTCTCTCTCGCTCCCACGCGCGCCCCGTAGCGGCGTCCTTCTCTCGCGCGGTGGGTAGGTACACGGAACGGATAGGAGTAGGTAGGTAGGTCGGTTAGCCAGGCGAGGTAGGTATGTCCTTTCACTGGCGTCAGATATAAACTCTTAAACATCTCGGCGGGATGCCGGGGCCGCAGCCAATGGGCTTCGAGCCCGGGCGTGGCCCCACCGGAGGAGGGTTGCGTTTGGTCGAGGACTCGGGGTGGAACACTGTGGCACAGTGTTTTATTTCGCTCGTTCCCTCTCCGTCGCGAGTCTCTCGCTTTCTGGCTCCCTCTCGCTCCTATTCGTTGGTTCCCGATGGCGCCTCTCTCTCTCTCGCTTTCCAGGTCTCCCTCTTCGAGGCCGCGCGGGCGCATATCGCGCGGATCGCGGCCGCCGGGAACACAGTAATGCTCAGTGGTAGGCAACCCCTACCTCGGCCTCTGCCACCACCATCGGCCGAAGTGACGACGGCGACCTCGTCCTCGGGCTCGCCGCCCACCCGGGAGTAGCCAGGACACCTGGACCCTGCAATCCCCGACCAGGCGGCTTCGACGTCGGTGCTGTCAGGACGCCTGGGAAGAATCTCCCTCCGGGTGCCGTACAGTCCTGGTCCTGGGGAGGGTGAACGACTTCCGGGGAGTGGTTCTTCGTACCCTGGAAGAGACTCCTCTTGGACAGTGCGCGGGGTCGGGGTTCGCGGTTCGGTGATCCTCCCGGGCCCGGTCCACGGGACTCTTCAGCGTCTTCCTTCAACGTCTCCAGTGGTTACTTGATGGCTTCTAAGAGGTGAAGGAACGCGCTCCACCTTGAAGAGGAACCGGATGAACCGTATCGGTGGACCGTTTACTGTGTACCGTTTGAATCTCAACAAGGAAACCCCGGTAGACCTCTGGATATTAGGAATTTTTGAAGAAACAAGTAAGCCAAATTGGAATCGCTTCCACGTCGAAGATACCAGAGAAGCACCTGGGACGATTGCACCCCACTTTTATAAAATAAACCGGGCAGGTTTGTCCGAACTCATCGGTCTAACCTCATCGCTCCAAAGTCATCGCACCAAACACATCGGTCCTTATCAGGACTTTCCTACGCCACGGAGGAGCCAAACTGCCAGCAAGAATTACCTCTGAAATCGGGGAGTCAAGATAACCGAGAGCAGAAAATCTGAATCGAGTCAAGAGGTCAAAAATCGGTCGACGTTCCGTCCAGAATGCCGGGCGTTCCGGCGTGAAGAAAGATGGCGGAGCGTAGGACGCGACGCGGTCTCTTTTCCACCCTGAGGTGCAGCTAGAGGCGTAGATCGGTCTCGAGAGACGCATCCGACCTCGAAGATGTCCCTGCCACGAGGCGTCGGCCTCGGGGTCGACGTGGGCCAGCTGATGCAGCACCAGCAACAGCAACAGCAGCACCACGTGCTGCCGGCGGCCTTCTTCTTGCGCGCCAGCGCCGAGCGCTATCAGAGGACGCCGAAGTGCGCGAGGTGCAGAAACCATGGCGTCGTCTCGGCCCTGAAGGGACACAAACGATATTGTCGGTGGAGAGATTGCGTCTGTGCCAAGTGCACCCTCATCGCGGAGAGACAACGCGTCATGGCTGCCCAGGTAAGTCCAGAAAGTACTGCGAGAGAACCCGAAATTAAAAAAATCAATTTAACCCTTGTACGGAAATCAGGTGATAAATATGTGGAATAGTGAAAATAGATTCCTATTTTTTCCCCCTGTTTCTGATTATTATGAATTTATTTCATAGAAAATAATAAGGGGGCGAAAATAAAAAGAGGGCGAAACAAACCCGTTCACCAGGGGGGCGAATTTGTTAAAACTTTATTAAACGCCGACTCATTGGACCTTGGAATGGAATTTGTTAATGGTAAACGAGGGTGGTACAAATCATTGTACAGGGAGGGGGCCAAAGGGCGGCTTTTTTCGAGTAAATCAAATCGGGCTGCACCGCACCCTGTCGGGTGGTGACAAACTATTCGTAATGAAAACTCGATGTGCTCGGTAGATTATTTCTGTTATTACAGGCCGTGGGACGGGCGATATTAATTAATGACACTTTTAAAATAACTATCGATGATCCCGTCGACCCGCTGGCAGGTTTACACACGGAGCGGTATACACCCTCGGGGATTTAAATATATCGGAGGTTTCGTTTAATCTTTCGAGGGGATTTTTCCCAGTTTGACGGGGAATTTTAAATCGAGCCTTTTTTCCGGCCCTCGATTATGCTCGCGTATATGCAACCCCGGAAACATTTAGGACACTGTTATGAGGGGTAGAACGAGAACCCACAAGAAGCCGGGAAAAACGTTAGTCTCGCGAGGGTTGCAGCTCTGAGAGCCCCAGAGAGGGTGGATCGTTTAAGCTCGTTTTACGGTGGCAACCCTTGGCACCCTCCTCGTGGATCGACTTAACTCGCGAGTAATTAATCAAACGTTCGGTATCGGTGCACCCTCATCCGGGGGCTTTTTCTCGTGTCCATGAGTCGAGGCCGTAGGTTGCGATCTCGAGCTCTCGCGGATGATTAAAAGGGAGAAAAAAAAATGTCAAACGCCCCCAACCCCCCGCTCCCTGGAATTCGTCATCGCGGATCATGGATTTGCCATGGCTATTAGGAATGCTTGGAAAAAAATTACGCGTTCAAGGTTTGGGACCTCCTGCTTGTATGAATATAATCCGGAATTTAGGATACCGATAATTTTGAGTTTCCTATTATTTTTTTTTGTTATGTCATGGTTTATTTTGTCTTTGCGATTAATGGGTTTGCCGATTCGGAGACATTATTTCGGGCTGTCGGGCACGTCGGATAACACGGTAACCGAATTATTGAAACGATGGGGAGGGATTTGGCCGGGCCGGAAGGCGCGTACAAGAACCCGAGTCCGACCCCTGGCTTCGGGGCAGAGCAAGAATGACACTTTTGTAATACATACCAACCCGACGCCTCGGAGGTCCCCTAGTCTCTAAAGGTGGCCGAGGGTGCCCGGGGGATGCTCGGCGTGTAAGATTTCCCCGTATATTACACGCCGATCGTCTAACGTTACAATGTGCATTCTCGTAATTCGACGCCACCCGAGATTAGAGATACCCCGACCCTCGTCGAGCCGTTGAGGGAACGCTTTTAACTAGTCGGGGCACTCTCTGCTAAACGGGAGCTCGACTAGAAAATAAGCAACCTTACCACGTCTTATTGCCTGCAATTAAATCGGAGAGATTAAATTATTCTTACCCTTACTTAGCTAGCGTTTCTCATATTTTGTCGAGTTACCAAAGAAATAATTTTAACTCGTCAGGGAATTTTCGACCAAACGGGGGCTCGAGGAGATAAGAACCAACGTTATAATTGGAGAATTGTCTTCGTCCCCTCAAAGTCTCCCGAAAGAAACGGCCATTTCTCCAATTTATCCGTAGAGTAGTTTAGATTAAAAAATCAAGGATGACCTTAACGATCGTTTCCTTGAGTCGTTTGTAAGCTCCTTGATAAAAAGGTAGGTCGGAAGGTCGAAATTTAATGTCCTCGCGCCATCGATATGTCAATATTTGGAGTGGGCCAACGTACAAGGCAGGACTCCGTGCAACGACAAAGGGGCTGTATAGGTCCTCGTAACACAATCTAGAATAATGCCGATTAACACCCGACGATTCTTAAGGTCGCCCTCGCGACCGCCCCGCGACTCAATGGCGGGGTCTAGGAGCGATTGTTCCTCGCGTTGTTCGCGCACGCGAACAACTCGCTGCCTCTTCTGGCTCCTCGACGAGAGCGAGTCCTTGGAGCACTTAACGACTTAACCGAAAGCTCGTGCCGGTCCTTCTTTGCACGAGGAGTCTCTCAAGGTGATGCGAGGCTCGCAGGAGCCCGGAAATCGGGCAAACCGAACAAAATGAGCGAAATGGAAAATGGGCCGTTCACTCCCCATCGACAAAATGCATCGTTTCCCGGAATGTCTTCCAGGCCTCGATCAGAAATTAATCGCAACGAAATCAATCGTCTCCACGGGATAATTCTTTTTAAGGGAGTTCATTAGCGGCTGCAGAATTGGCCCCTTTGCAGACCCGAGAGCTCCTGTCGCATCCTTGCCAAATATTTCATTATTCCGATATTATCGAACGGGCAGGAAAATCCTACAGCATTGTCTTCTCATCCAACCATTAGAGAAGGATTTGGATCTAATTTCGATTTTCAGGTCGCCTTGAGGAGGCAGCAAGCTCAGGAAGAGAGCGAGGCCCGAGAGCTGGGCCTGCAGCTGCAGTACAACAACGGCAGCTGCGCGACCGCTCCGGTACTGCCGTCCGCCGCAGCGGCGGGCACGCCGACCGGTAGCCCGCCGCCGCATGCGGCGAATCCAACGCATCCGGCCCACGGGGCCCATCCGACGCATCCGGCCCACGTCGCCGGACCCGGCGGACTGACGATCCCGGCCGCGGCCGCGGCCGCAGCCGCAGCCGCAGCCGCTGCGGCCCAGATCCAGACGCAACTGCACCAGCAGCCCGACTGCGGCCTGCTGCAGCGGATGCGCGTCCCTCAGGACGACTATCGGCAGCCGAAGATCGAGAAGTCCGAGCAAGGTCACAATTCCGCGTCCGGAAACGCAGGTACGGAACCCTCCTACTTCCCCTTAATTTTAAATCTGTCCCGAGGGAAAAATATCGAACCGAAGGCATATTTCTTTGGACGGTATCAAAGATATATCTTGTAAATTCAGAGAATAATTATCTCACTCGGTTAAGCTCGAATAAATTGGATGCAACATTTATCCGGAATTACGACTATTATTTCGAGTCAAATTCTGAGAATTGACGAAATATTTTTTTTGGTGCTATTCGAAGAAATATTTCTTTGGTTCAATGATATTTCTTATTTTTTCCTCAAGGGGTACACGACGTGTACTAGGTGTATAACGCGAGGAATAGAAAGGCGATAACAGTGGTCACTATTGAGCAAACACTTTTATCCTGGACAAAGTATATTAAATTGAAAAGCGACAACAGTGGCCACTGTCGAGGAAATGATTTTATCGTAAATAAAATACATAACCGAGCTCGATTCGGTTTGCAAGGAATCTCTCCTCTGCGGGGCAGGGACGAAAGGGTCGAGAATTAAGCCTCCACCGGCGAACGACTTCCATCGAGTGGCATAATAAGGGCTCGGCCATTATTTACTTAACCTTACATCCCTTCTCGATCGAAGGCACGTGTGTCACGCGTGCTTCTTACACGAGTACCCGCACGCGCGCAACGCTCTTCCAAGATGTACTCCATGTACCCGACTCTACGAGCAGGGCGTGTGCGCCGGCATTGTGTCGGTATTAAATCGGCTATCGGGCCCTTAAAAAACGTACAAGGCATCGCCATGTTGCTCCTATAAACTAACGTAAAGGTTTAACAATTCTTTGTCGAGGCTCCCCAGTGTTTAGCATTGTCGACGCCAAGTACCACGGTACCGGTCGTTGCGCGGTGCTTTTACGTCCAAGAAGTCGTACAAAATTTGCAACTGTCCCCAGAGTTTGAATTTCACTTCCGGTCTTTGCATTTCCGGTGTCGGTAGTTCGGTTGAGCCAACCATTGCATTGAATTTGCAAATAGTTTTTTCAGTGTATCTAAACTTTAGATACCCATAAGTTTCCCTCGTGAGGTTACGATATACATTAAATCGGAATTAAATCGGCATTAAATCCCAAAGGCCTTAAAGGGGTAACGATGGCCCCCGTTTGGGGGAAGGCTTTGTTCCGTTACCTTCGGCCACGGAAATTCTACTTGTTCCTCTTTCGACTCTCCTTTCAGGCTTTTCTCCATTCTCGCGGTGCGCTCGTTTGTGGGCATTCGCGAGTGTGCCCTTACGCGTTTTTTTCCAGGGCATACGAACATGCACAGACAGAAAGGTGCAAATACGGCGACCGATTACGAGCCTTTCCCTCGGCTCGGTATAACCAAGGAACAATCGGGGAAAAAATGTCTCCTCTTCTTTGGAGAATTTCCGCGGCACTTCCACCTTGAGGAGCCCGTTCAGGGCGGGCACAAAAGGCCGGGGCGGACTCGGAAATAAAGGGTTAAACCGGGCGAATCTCGAGATCCGAGTATCGTTAAAACTCGTAACGACGTCTACGAGTTGCCGATACGTCCGGAACTCCGAGGGGGGCTTTGCAGGCCGTGGTGAAAGAGCCTCGTGTCAAAGGCGACTCCTTTCGCTCCGAGTTTGACCTCTCGGGCTCAAAGTGTTCAAACGCCATTCCGGAGTGAAAAAGAGCCGCTAGATTTGACACTGCCACCGTGTGGAGGCGTATCGACCCTCTACTTCTTACGTGGGGGCGTTTTCGTCACATCCTGGGGTGAAGAATTAAAGAGCGGAGGTGAAATCGAGCACAAGAACGTTTTTTTTTAATTATTCATTCACAGGGATAACAGCAGGATAATTAACTGTCGATGCTAATCCTCTGAAATTCTGTATAAATTAACTCGGTGCGCTTGTCAACTTTTACGAGGGTGAAAATCGGAGTTCCTAGAGGTTCGTGGATCGTTTCGCGAGGATCTCGAGATACCCCTTGCAGTGATTTTCTTTCCGAGAAGACAAGGGTGGATAAGAACGCGGGCGCGTGTGTGGAAATTGGCCCGAGACAATCGACTCAAAGAGACGAGGGGGATGCAGCATCCCTTCCGATCTCCTCGAGACACAGTGCCTACAGTAGAGTATAGAGTGGAGCCAAGTCTTCGGTCGAGAAGTTTAGCAGTAATTGAATTTCTCGGGCCAGTGCTTCCGACCGCGCGGGATGGTTCTCCGGTTCTCTGGTTCTCTGGTTCTCTGGTTGGCTGGCTGGTCGGTGTTCCGTAAGTCGGAGCTCGGAGATGGTGGAGGTGAGTCAGGCCATCTATACGCAGACCTCGGGATGGGTCTCCCAGAAGCTGTTCCGCAGAAATTCATTGTATATCCACCTAATTCATAATCCACCCAATTCATGGATACGGTGAGTCGGGTGGAGGGGTACCTTCTTATCTAGAAAAAGAGGTTGGAGGAGGTCTTCGTCTTCGATCCTGGCTATCGTTATCTTATGTAGATATCTTGAGGCCGTAGCTATACAAACGCCAAGTTACGCCTTCTCGTTCTCGCTTCAAGTGGCCAAGAAACTTTCTGCCACCGCCGTTCACTTCCGCTCCGACTTCCGGCCCTGCAGAGGACACCAGGAAATTATTTCACTCGGAGATATTTCTCTCGAGGTGGAGGCGCCGCGAAGTCTATGTATACTTACAGAGGCGATACTCGATCAATCGAGATGCGCGGAATTAATTGCCGGCTCGCGTTCAATTTTACGGCTTTCCTCCTCTATGCGCGATCGGGACGCGAAAGTTACTTCGGGCACGACCGGAGGAAAGAAAGCCCGATAAGGGACGGCAATCTCGAATTCGGGATAACAGGAAGCCGGAGAATAAAACTGTGCGGGAAAGGCTTCGTAAGGCTACTTCGGTCCCGATCGGAGGAGCGCCGGGTTTCTTCGGAGCCTTTTTTAATTAAACCCGGTCGCGGAGTACGCCGACATTTAATATCGCGAAAGTATAGGTATACTCGATATTATATATCCGGAGCATCTCGCCTCGCGGAATCGCGGAGGACGGATCAATAGCGCGCCGAAGAAAATTCCGCCATCGCGGAAAAAGTCAAGTCCACCTTGGAACGGGCGAGATACAATTCGCGGCGCCTCCATTCATTTTTCTCCTTATCTTTCAACCATCCTAGGAGAAGAAAAAATAATGATAGTTTATCCAGGAATCCTGAAAAATGGAGTTACAATTTTCAAACCCCGCTTACTCTCCACCCCCATTCAAGTGGTCACTTAAAAATCTTTAACGTGCATTCTCCGTCCTTAGTCTGAATTTGTGGCGGTCAAATTAATTTGAAATTCTTAATCTCGCGGAAAATATGAAAAACACTCGGTGAGAAGGGAAAGAGATAATCGAGGTATCCCATGGGGTGAGCGTTCTCACCTGGGGTGAGAAGTGACAAAATCCGCCGCTCACCCTCCGCTTCTTCCCGGGAAAGGAGTCGAGTCCCCGCGGCGGTTTCCCGCGGGGTGGAAAAAAAAAAAGCGCCTCGACCGGGCTTGCCATCGGCTGCCGCCCTAAACCACCCGTTTACGAGGCATAAACGGCGAAACAAAAGCCGGCTGGGCGCGAAACAATTAAAAACGTTTCGCTCGATCGCTCGGGCCGCCCTCCGGCCTCGCCCCCGTGGCGCCACCTACGCGCCGCGCCGACGAACTACCAGCGCGCGGCGGCCGCGCCGCCACTCGAGCCGGCTCACTCTCTCGCCCGGCGATAACAAAACACCCCCGCGAGGGTGAAAACAAAAGCGAATCGCGATGATTTAATGACTGATCGCGGCCCGCGGCTGCGGTGCGCCGCGCGCGGGTTTTCCGCGCGCCATTGGCGCCGGCCCGGCCCATTGGCGGCGGCCTTGCGGAAAAAAAAAAAAGCGCGCCCCTGCATTTCGGATCCGGGAAGGGGGCGTCTCTCTTCCTCGTTATTCCATGGCCGCCGATCTTGCCCCATTTTGCGCGCGTATCGATACGAAATAATGAGAGTCTTTTGTGGCCGGCCGGGGCGAGCTTTCTTCCCGGATTATCGCGCTCGCGGGCCTCCCAAAGGGCGCCGCGATTTCCCTCGCCCGGTCATTAGTTAGGGGAGTTAGTTGCGCGGATCTCCGCCATCTTGGGAAACCGCGAGAACGCTCGACGCGACTATATAAGTGGAAATCGAAGAGTATGGTCAGCCGCTGTGATTCAGGGCGCACTAAACACGTTCTTATTCCACCGCGGACGGAAAGTTGGACTTGCAGGAGGTAATATATATCTTTGCGACTTAAGCTATCCAAATGACGAGACTGACCACGTCGAGGGACTATGCCAAGCTACCCCGGTTATGATTTTCCTTTATTTCTTCCGGGCGATTATCTCGAGAAATCTCTTAGCTTCGAGCTCGGGCGAATCTCAGAGGGGAGGGCGACGAAACTCGAGGGCCGAAAGAGACGCGAGCGTTCGGTTATTTTACGGTCGCGGGACAATAGGCGATAATAATTCATAGCTCTCGGGCGGCGAGGGCCCTCGTTCGCGAGGAACCATAACCGGGGCCATAACCCACAAGGCGAGGCCAACAGTAGCGCCTCGCTCGATAATTCATCCCGCGGGAATCTGGACGTTCCATCGGTCGCGTATCCCGGAGGAGCCCCTCCGAAAGTTTTAACTTTTCAGCCCTTTGCTAGGGGATTTACCCCGAGCCTCGACACGTGACCCGTCGAACTCCCTAGCAGCCGAGGGAGAAACCTAATTGCCGGCTCGACGAGAGCACGACGCGTTACCCTAATATTCCTGACCCGATGAGAAGCCGAACCACTCCTGCACTCGTTTCCACGCTCCTCCGATAATTGAAGCCGCCAGGCGATCGAAATCATTCGCGCAATTTCTCCGGAACACGCCACGGAGACACTTTTACTCATTAACGAGTCGCGCCACCGGATTAATTAATGGCCGAACTCTGGCGGGAATCCGCGATGGTAATCGGGCTCCCCACCTCCGCGGAAGCCTTCTCGAGAAGGAATGGGTACCCAGAAATATTTTCTTATTAAAATATAATCCTCCCCTTGGATAATCGCAAGATTCACCCCTTGAGCTGACCTTACAATTTCATTCCAGAATCCTGGCGATTTGGTATACCTTAGTGCCTCTCTCTCCCTCTCTCGGCACGAGTTAGTGGGCTTAGGCTAAGCATCTAAACCTAATTTATAGGGATGTTTCGTGTCCTCCACAGTTGCCCTGCAGGCTGTGTCCTATTGCTCCTATTCTCTATTATGCACCGCCGACGTAGGCCGGAAGCCCGATATCTATATGCCATTCTAAATTATTCCGCATTGTCCTCGGTTGATTCCATTGTCCGCGTCTGTCTCCACCGTGCCGAGATACGCCGCGGGTTGTAGGTTGTAGGGCGGACCTACAACGACAACGCGACCTATGCGTACGTACACGCGTGCACGCACGTTTTCTCGCGTAAATCTACACGCGTCTCGGATCCCTGGGCACGCATACACCTTGGAACGCGTTCCGATGCCTCTGACGTTAACGACAATAAATTTATTTTCAATTTCACGATTTCAGAATCTCGAGATTCGCAATACGAGTTCGCAGTACTTAAGGGGATACGAAAGTGCCGTCCGATGCGCCTAATCGCTTGAAACTTTACCTCCCGAATATCGAGGCCCTTAAAAATGATCCTACACCCATGAAATTTAATTTTTTTAATAATAAAAAAAAAATTTAGAAAACTGCGGGTCAAGAAATATAAAAAATGTATAAACGTCTTTCTATTTCCTCGCGATGCACTTTTAGATTATCTGGAGAATTTCGATAAGGGGTGCAACGTTGCAACTATTCGGGGGGGGGTCTTTTCAGAGTACGTGGATAATGCGTGAGGGTTGGAAAGGGTCCATACATTTAACGCGGCGCAATGAAGTCCGGATAGACATTAAGGTCGGTTATTAAAGTGTCGTTGCCGTCATGGCAAACCCCATCCCCGTCGGCAACCTTCGACCTTCCACCCTCGACTCTTTCTTGCGGGGGTGTTCGCGGGCATTCGTGGCCCAACTTCCAGGGGATGAGGGGGCATTCCTGGCGAGCCTCCGCGGCACTTATCTGGAAGCGAAAAACGCAATACAGTAATATTACGGAACGGGGAGCTATTAGTGGGTACTTTACATCCCATCGGTGTAATGTACTCCGGGGTATCGCCGCCCCTTTCTGGCGACAATGCGCGTAACGACATCCTAGGGCCATGTGTCGCTCTTGAAATAAGACTCTCCGCTTCTTCGGGGTACCTTGAACCCTGAGAAGGGTGCGGAAGAATTTGGCGCAATTTCTCCCGAGGAGATACCACCTCGTCGGGGTGCATGGGTGAAGACTCGCGTTCTTACGTGGTAGTTTCATTTCTTTCTCGGGGAGTGACGAAAAGAACTTACTCCAGCGCGTTTGCTCGTGACTAAATCCTGGAAAGATAAGCGCGAGGTCGTTTGAAAATCCTTCCAAAAAATTCTAAATGAAATTTAAAGAAAATTTATTCCGATCTCGCGCTCAGCCGTCGAGATTCACCCAGGGGTGGTGTACGAGTCTAAATCTGATTCCCCGATAAAAATCTGATCCTCCAACGCGATCGCCTGTTATCAAGCCCCGAAGGACAGGGCACGGTCGGGTGAATGGTACTTCTCCAAGGGCGTTTAACTTCCCCGGGGGTGGTGTATGTATCGTTAAGGGAGTCGACTCGACGGCCGGCGAGGCCGAGCCCCGCAGCGGGAGTGGATTGAAAGCTGGCATTGAAACTGACCGCAGTCGCATTCAAGCTTTCGAGGATCCGATGCTCGACTCGCCGCGGAGTCCGAAAGGAGGGGGTTCTCATCCGGGGGGGTCGTCGCAGCGGACGGAGCCTCCCAGGAGGCTGAGCCCCTGCGAGTCGAGCGGTGCCGAGCCTCGCAGCGCTCGAGAGCCTCTGCGCCCCACTCAAGTTATCGAGGTTGTTAGAAATAATTGCGAAAACCCGGCTCGTACGGGGAGAGAGAGAGAGGGCTGGGTGGCGCCCCCCGCGATGTAAAACAGGCCCTCGATACGATCGATCGATGGGAACGCGCTCTCGATTCGATACGCCGCGCCGTGTAAATGGCGCCCGAAGAAACGGGAGGGCGCGCGTTAGGTTAGGACGCCCCATCGACGGGGAGGTTGGCGCGCTTAATCGAAGGCGTACACGCGTTAAGTGGACTCGCTGACCGCTCGTTAAAAAGTTTAACCGGCCGTTTTGTGCCGCGGAGAATGGAGCCGCGAAATGTAGCTAGGGCGCCTTCGTCCCGGTGGAGGGTTTCTTAAGGGCCGAGGCCTAACGGCGCAGCGACCGGGGTGGTCGCCCCTGCTCCTCTTGGTGGCCACTGTTGCGGCCACTCCGCGGCGTAATTGGGGATGATGCGGTTCTAGGGGATAGATATTATTATATCCACCCCGGGGTTACATCCCCGAGGGGAGAGGAAATTTCCCGCTTCTCGTTTCGGTCTCGATCGCAGGGGATGCAAATCCTTCAGAGTCGGTTAAGACCTTCACGGATACCACGTGTAACTGTCACGCGATACGCTGCCCTCGACTGACTTTAGTTTCGAGCGGGAGAATTAGATTATAAAAAAAAAAATGTATGTTGGCATCCGATATTCGGAAATTGCCAAGGTTTTGATATGTCGCAAAGTATCTCTTAAGGTCTTTACTCGCTCCTGTCCGAACGGCACTCGACTCGCACTACTTGCGAGAGGGCGTCTTGAGAGCGCAGGGAGTAACTTAACTCGGAGGGCCGCGACCTCGTTAGGAGGGCGCGGCCGGGCGGAACCGCGTGAAATGTTGCTCCGCTTGCGAGGTACGCCGGAAATTAAAATCCAGGAAAGCCCCGAGAAATTACGAGGATTTACGAGAAATTGGATACTTGGCTCTCGGCGGCTCAAGCACCCGCTCACGCGGCGCTCGCGTCGACGAACTTGCTTTCCCTTGTTTTCTCTTTTCTTTCCGCTTTGGCATTCACCTGGCTGCGGCTCCGCTCCGCGCGTTTCCCGCGCGCGGTCTCGGGAGAGACCTGTAAAAATCGTCGAATCGTTAGCGCTCGCGTCGTCGAGTTTACCGAGAAAGTTCACGCGGGGAAGAAGTTACCGCCTGCAAGTTAATAACTCCCATCGCCGCGTTCCACCATATTTTTAAAACGCACAATTTCGGTTTCCGTCGGTTGTCACAATTTCGAGACTCCCCGTCACCTAGGACCTCTCTCACGCGAGTTCGTCTCCGTTGCAGGCACGAAGCGAGCCAGGATCTCGGTGGAGAGCGGCAACGAGGACGAGCGGGACTCGGACTCCGACCTGGGGGCGGGTAAGGCGCGGCACGCGTTCTCGCTTGGTTCCCGGTCCCGATCCCGGTCCCGATCCCGGTCCCGATCCCGGTCCCGCTCGCGGTCCTACTCCAGGTCGCGCTCCCCGTCGCGGTCTCGCTCGCGGTCGGACTCACGGGCGCGCGTGGTTGCTCCTCCAGGCCCCGGCGGGGACCGAGCGGACCGCCCCGGTCGGAACGACTCGGAGGAGGGCAGCGCCGAGCCCGGCTCGCCCAGTCCGACGCACACGCCGCCGCTCACGCCCGCCCTGACGCCGCAGCGCGCCGACACCCCCGCCCCGGAGAACCTCAGCATCCGGAAGGCCGGCACCCCGCCGCAGGCCCAGACGGCCCTGCAGGCCGTCGACCTGGTACAGCCCAGGCATAGCCCGCCGGCGCCCTCTCTGGCCGTAAGTCTCGCACCGACTCTTTTCGCTTTGGCACTTCGACCGAGATGCTCCGATTTCTTCGCACCCCTTTTTGTCACTTTAGTCTCGACTGAATTCTTATCGACTCGGTTGTTTCTTTTGTTTTCTATCATATTTTTATTACTCCCGGGTCCATTTGCAAGGTGGAATTTCCATTCCGGGGTAAATGATTTCCGTTGTATGTCGCATGGAAAATCGCGGTGTGATCAGTCCCATGGCGAAAAGAGACGGGGGACCGACTTCGTGATTTTTTTTCAGGCCGCTGCGGCCCATTTTTCCCCCTACGCGCCCCTTTACGGGCCTGCCGCGAGTTCGCTCTACTGCTCGCCTAGCCTCTATCAGCACCACCACCATCTGCCCGAGCCCAGGGAGATCCAGATGCAGATGCAGATGCAGATGCAGAACATTCAGCAGCCCTGCGGCCTGCAGGTCCAGCAGCAGCAGCAGCAGCAGCAGCGTTCCCCGGTCGACGTCTTGCTCAGGGTCTTCCCGGGTCGGCGCAGGGCGGACGTCGAAGCTCTCCTGCACAGGTGCAAGGGTGAGTCTTCGAGATCTTGAAGCCATTCTTAACCCTTTTATCTCCGATACGCGAAATATCTCGTGGAGAACGTTAAGAAGGTTAGAGTTATCTCGTGAAAAATGTCAGGCATCCAGTATTACGTCACGAAATATCTCCTACTAAGTGACCCGAAGCAGGGTCTTAATCAGCCGATGAAAGCCAGCGTCCTAATCAGTCGATAAGAGCCAGCTATCTCCCCAGCTGACGAGCGCCAGCTATCAAACCCACCGGAGAATCGTCTTCCTTCCCCTAGGTGACGTCGTCTCGGCGATGGAAGTCCTGGTCTGCGAGGACAGCTTGCAGCCGAAATCCGCGTTCTCTCCGCTGGCCGGCGCCCTGGCGACGGCGGCGGCCGCGTCTGCGGCTTCCGCATCCGTTTCCGCCACGGCCGCGTACGCCTCCAGAGCCGGGTATTGCGGACCTAGTCCCCCGACCAGACACAGGTTCCTGGCTGCCCCCTACACCGGGACAGGATACCTGCCCACCGTCATCAGGCCCCCCAATCAGGCCCTCCATCCCAACGGCACCGACGCATACCGGGAGACCAGTCCCGACGACGCCAGCGACAAAACCAGCTACTCCGAGTGACCAGTCTATCCGATCCCGGAAGCTTGGTCTTACCTGTAGCCGACTAAACCGAACCGCACTGCGGAGACTTCGATGCCGCCACCTTGCGTAAGAAAGATGCCGCGCTGAGCGAATAGTCGAGGGTACGGATTCAATTTTTGTTATGGTAGCGAGCGGTTTAATTTCAACTTTTTTTTTGTCTTTTAGAGAGAATTGAACTTCTCGGAAGGGAGGAAATTCCGCAAAGTTCCTGGGAATTACGTGGGCTAAATAACGAGGGCGGATAAAAAATGTCGGTTTGATTTGGGGATTGATTGGATTAGAAAATCGGCCGGCGAGAAACGGCGAGGGTCGCCGCTCCGGAATTGGGGGACGAGTTACAATATTTAATGCGGAACTGTACGAAACGGGGTAAAAATTATTACACGCCTGTTAATTTACAGCGCATAGCAATTTCCAAAAGCCCCGCGGACACCTGTTGCACGTGGAGATTTTTCAGCTGTGAAAAACGTGATTTTTCGAGAGAAACAGAGAGGACGAAAGAGAAAAGGGGGAGAGGGTAAAAGCGTGAGTACATGTGTTACATGTATAGACGTAATCGCGAGATAACCCGACTAGAAATAGCCCGGAAATAATTAAAGGACGTCCAGAAATTTCTGGAAGAATTTCAAGATAACGAAAATCGTTATTTTCGACGTTATCGTTCCTTTCGTTCGGTTACATTTCTTTACTAATTTCTGAGATACTCGAGAGCGTTATCGACACTGACGAAAGAATTTTTTATTCCCAGGTTACCGATTCGGTTTACCAATTAATTTCTTACGGTGCCATATCGGGGGCGTTATAAACCATGTAAAAGCATTTTGTTTAAATTCATCGAGCCGTTCCCTAGCGAGGGTGATGTCCTTTCAGGTTTTAAGATAATCCCGTAAGGGAAACACGTGGGGACATTTTTGCAAGGCGATTGCCTGGATGCGAAGACTTAAATGATATACTCGTATATGTGTAGATACGTAATCATCGGACGTTCCGTGACGAGAGAGTAGCCCGTATATCTAGGTAGGACTAAGTATCGTTTAACCAATTAAAAACTAGCTATAAATAAAGGAGATGTACATAAACGATCGCTAGTTCGAACCCCGTTAATCAAATTTTATCGACGGGCCGGGTCGGGCGAACGCGAAACAAACTCGCCGGTCCCTTCGTAAATATCTACCGAACGGCTCGCATATACATACTATACATACGTATACGCGCATATACTATATGTTATACATAATTCGTGTACAATGCCTGTAATATGTTAGGGAATCGCTGAGATTTATTGGTATTACGTCAAGAAGCTCAGATAGTTACCATTGTGCTGCACGATGTATAGATCGAACCCTCAATAAACGACATATTGATATTCGATACGATAGCCGGGGCGCCATAATTGCTCCCAATTAATCTTCCAGAAGAGTAATCACATTTTTTTCCCTATCAGGAATCCAAAACCGATGCGTTCCGAAAATACGGTCTCGCCGTTAAAATGGCGGATCTATACGAAGCCATGAAATGGATCCGCGGTCAACGTTAGGTTGATACGTAAGGGATCATTCTACAAATCTAAAACGTCAAAATATTCCTCCAAACTGGGGTCACCGAATCATTTTCTTCCTTAGGCCCTCCATAATTACGGGTTACAGTTTCAAATGATTTGGCTCACTCGATTATGAGAAAGGTTTCATAAATATTTTGACGTTTCGGTATGTATCTATATATCACGCTTTCGTATCACCTTGAAAAAATAGAAAAACTCGGAATAAATCGGCAAGAAAGGCGGGCAAGCTTCCGGATATCGAAAGAGTATTTCCGGGCGTGGGGGGCGAGCCCGGAAGAACAATGCCGTGCACGCGGCGGCGGAGACGCCTGCGAGCGTACACCCAGGCGGCCTCGGTGTAAGTACACAATACCCGGATATTATTTACGAGCCGGCTGCTCGGGCTGCAATATATCGGCACCCCGTAGCGTTCTCTTGGCTACTGGTTGCCATTATATACCGGGCACCGCTGAAAGCCTGTACCTGCCTACCGCCGAATCGGGCCCGGCTTACGAGGGTGCCGATTGTTCCGCGTAATTTGTAGCTCGCCGGGGTGCGGTGACTCGTCGTCGCTCCGCATCCGACCAGGAATTTTGAGCCCCGTTTGATTGGTAAGGGTCTCCCGCATTCCATTAGGTTCATTTAGTGTGACACCTCGCGCACCCTCCCCGAGGAAAGTAATATCGCGATTCCTGCGGATATATTGGACCTCGGGGATTGAAATTACTTATTGCAACCGGGGCCCGGAATCCGGCGCTGATCCTGTCTCAATGGCTGGATACCTCTCTAATGGGATGGAGGAACGACCGCGAACCATTTGTAATTGAGAAATCGTCAATTGAACTCGGAGGAATTGCGTTCTAATTATACTCAGATATGTCGATGGACCGAGAAGAAAATGTCATCGAGCGAAAGAAATATTTCGATAATTCATTCACTCCACCTGGAATAAATTGGACGCAACGTCATTAGAGCTCGTTTCGTTGAATCGATGAAAAATTTTTCTTTTCAGGGTACGATTTACAAACGAAACTGCGTCCGACTAGGAGATGTCGTGGATCGTGGATTTTCTTTTCCCGGAGTCTCCCGGGTCGTCGGGTACCCTCGATGCATGCCGCGGAGATGCTTATGAATATTTGAACGGCAAAGACGGAGTGTTTGCCCGGAGTCGGCAACACTTTATCCCCGCCGGAGGTAAAAGGAGCCAGAAGTTCAGCCGAGGACCCGCGTTTACATGTGCGCGTCCGTACACCCTGGGGTACAGGTGGATCCGTAAAGTTACAGGTAGGCTGGCAAACGGTTCCCATACGTTATGGTAGAGGAGATGCAAATATTGGGACGAGTTAAAAATTTTAAAAGGTTTCCCTCGGGCTTTTCAATACACCTCGACGACCTGCCGGCACACGGGAACGAAACCGTCTACTTAAAATCGAAGACTACCTGACATCGACTAGCTGTTCCCTTGATTTTAACACCGACGTTCAATTTTCTACTCGAAAGAGACGCGATACAATTTTTCATATTTTAACAACGCGAACTTTCCTTTCGAGGGGGTCAGATCGGGTGGAAAGAAAAAATCCAGTTTCACCTCGCAGCCTTAATTCATTAAGTCTTCGAGCCCGCCTCCTCCGGGGAAACAATTCGGGAGAGAGAAAAAGGTCGCGCGAACGCGCAAATCGGGCGAGCAATTAGGTATTCCTGTACCGAGGGCCGCACAATGAAGGCCGGTCCTTGGCGCGACGGGCTCGAAATTCGCAAGGACGAGAAAGACTCTCGATGGCAGCCGGGGTCGGAGCTCCGGATCGGGCCCGGGGTTGAAACGGAAATGCCATTGACGCAATGTCAAAGTAATTAATGGAATACGCTCGCGCGACGGGCTGAATTCGATATCGGCGTCCTTGTCCCCCGAGCCCCTCGGTGGGGGAGCGACGGAGAAGGAGGGACGGCGGGGGCGAGAAGGGGCAGAAGGGGCGCCGGTGAGAATATTATCATGGATTTAATTAATATTTCATTTGTATGCTATTTCTCGCCTCCGCGAGCCCCTGTTCCATCTCGCGTCCTCTATAGCCGACTGTACAAGTGTACACGCAGACGCAACCGTAATGCCTATCTCCACGTACACCTCGAAAGGCGGGACAGTAGACTGCAGAGAAAGAGGAGGATAAAGGGGAAAGAGATGGGACACGCAGACGCGGAATTCAGCCTCCGATGTGCACGGATACAACCGACCACCATTGTGCATCTCTGGACCTAGACGCGTCCATTGGGTGTTCCGGGATTTTTCGGCCAGAGCTCAGAAAAATGGACCACGTCGTCCTGCCATATCCCAAGTCCCTTTAAACCCCTTTGGACGCATCCAAGAACGTGGATGACGACTCGATCCATTGTCGTCGGTTTTAAATTAAATTCTGCAAAACTTTGACAAAATAAATGTGAAACTTCTTAGGGCACGTTACAAGGAAGATATTTCGCGGAAGAATAATTCATGGTATATAATAGAAGTCTCACTTTTAAAGCGTCGGATATGTACAGATGTTCCTTGTCGCGGATTAGATCTAAGGACTATGTCAATGCGATATTCTATTCTGTTATAGATTTAGGTATGAAGTGTATGGACCGAGTTTGAACCGAAACTCCTAGGACACCGTGTGCACGTGGAGGCGAGCCGTGGCTAGAGAACGGGAGAGAAGAAGACGGCGCTACGGGCGGAGCAAGGGTGCGAGAGAGAAGAGAGCTGCCGCGGACAGGGAGCCGGGCCGAGAGCTGTCCTGTATTTCAATTTAGCGCGTCCATTGTTGGATACTAATATTATTCAGTTCGGAATTGTTTCGCGACGACCCTCGTGCCCGGGGTGACACTCCCTCTTGGCGCCACTGTTCGCTATCCGGTGCCAACGCGGGTTCACCTATCGAACTCGATTTCGGCTCGTACCATTTCATCCACCCATGCGAACATATATGTACACCGGCGGTCATGAACGGCTTCCTCGTCTACATGGCGTAGCCTAGTGGTGTTAACGTAAACGTAACGTGAAAAACGAGCTCGAAAACTTATGTACTTACGGTACCTGATGTATAATAAACTGTAAAATAATTAATGTAATAAAGCAACTTATCGAACGATAACAATGAGTACGTTTAATTAAACGAGTACGAAACTCGGTGCCACCTCCGCGATTGTCCTATTATCCTGTTACAAGTGAGAAATTTCGACCCCTAAAATTTTTGCCCGGGAAAAACTCCGTGCCACCTCCTCGGTTATCCTATGTTCCTGTTAGAAATCGGAAATTTCAACCCCTAAAATTTTTGCTCTAAAATTTTTGCCCGGGAAAAACTCCGTGCCACCTCCTCGGTTATCCTATGTTCCTGTTAGAAATCGGAAATTTCAACCCCTAAAATTTTTGCCCAGGAGAATTCCATGCCACCTCCTCGGTTATCCT